CTTGGATTTGAACGGTGGAGATCGGATTTTGAGGCTCGTAGTATCTGATTTCGAGTCTCGAACAACTGCTTCATTTTTGTGGATTCTCCTCTTTCTTGAATTGATTAGTTATTGCTATTGTTGCTTTGTGTTTAACACTTATTGTGTTGCCAATTTGGAGAACATTTGTAACCCTCTTGTTGTTATAATGGAGCTTTTTGGATCTCTGTGATCCCGTGGTTGTTACCTTCGATTTGAAGGGTTTTCCAAGTTAAAATTTGATGTTCTTTATCTTCTTTATTTTCGGGTTTGCCTATTCCTTGACATAACATAATTATCTTCTTATTTAATCTAAAATCACAAATGCAATATTTTTTTTCTCAAGATTATCATCAATACTGGAAATCACCCTGAGTGCCCAAAAAATTAGGTGTCATTAAAAATAATAAGTATTATGATAAAAGTTGTAATCAAGCTAAAATAAAAGTTGTAATCAAGCTAAGTTTACAATGAAGGTGCATACTTCTTGAATATGGAAAGTCCATCATGCTCATTGTAATGGTGTGATTTTTGATAATTAGTTTTTAACATTTCTTTTTTGTCACCTGTACGTCAGTGACATCAATTTTTGTTTGTAAGAATCGTAATTGATGTAAGTTTCTGTAATACATCTTAACATCTAGAATACTCTTAGTAAGTGTTTGGCTTTTCTTATTATGTTTATCATAAGGAAAAGCTAATATCTTATCGTGCTTTAACATAATTTTAGATAATATCAAGTAAGATTTAAATCCTATATACTTGAACTTATACCAAATAGTCATAAGATCGAGTTTTAGTGGTACGTCTTCTTTTATGTTGTTGCTTTGTTATTTTAACAACTGATTCGATTATTTATACTGTTGTATACTTTAGTAGTAAGTTCTTTTGTTTGTTTATCAACTCCACACTTCTTATTTAAAGACTCTATACAGTAATGTGACTCATCTGCACTTCTTATTTAAATATCTTATTAGTTGTTTAGCTACTCTACAGTAATGTGACTCATCACGAGAATCATTTGAGTCAGTTAGTTTGCAATATCTAATGTATATACGCTAAATTCTACAATCAAGTTTTGTAATTTCAACTCTTTTCTTATGCCTTTTCAGGTGATTAGTTTTGCAAACAAATAAGTATGAATGGCAAAGAAGTTTTGTCAATTGCTTATCCGTCGATGATAGGAGCTCAACCAAAGGCATCCCAAGATAAGGTACCTCCAGCCATCTTATTAAGAATAGGTTGTTAGAAACGAATGAATGGTACATGACCACTCTTCGTTGAACTCAATAGATGCAAGAAAAGAATAGTAAAATAAGAAAGCAAGAGGAACCAATCTTTAAGACACAAGTTGGCCTTATGAAAATCTGGAGGACATATAGTATCAATTGGAACCCCAGATTATTATTGGGCTCTGGTAAAATGGAAAAATATTTGTTCTAAGCAACTTAGCTGAAGGAAGATCTCTTTTAAAGAATGAACAAAGCCAACAAGATTATTGGCCATTTGAGTGAGATGTATAATTATTGTGCTGCCTCTGCCATCTATGTTATAACAAGAAAAATGTTCACATTTTTGACTTATACTCTTTCCTTTGAACATGTTACCATTATTAAAAAACTTATTCTCTTGTCCAGTTACTTGTTTTTAAAATATATATCTTTCCTTACCTCAGGTTGCTAAAGATCAGTTCTGTGGAGGAGGCGTGAGGGAAATAGTGAATCATGTTAAATATTTTTATATTCAACATCTCCCACTGTAGTCGAGTCATTTGTAATATGATACATATCAATTGTGTTGTCTAAAAATATTGTAGACATTTATACCCTAATCTGGAAGTTATAACACATATAGACAGGATTGCTCACCAATTATGGCCAACTTGTTGCAAATAGCCCTGGAAGGCATAAATTTATCACCAAAAACAATAAATAGTTGTTGGGCCCGGGCTACCGGGCATATCCTCGGGTGAAATTCAAAAATAGCCAGATTTACAACTGGTCGTTCAGAAATGGCCCAGTTTCAAAAGTAATCGAAATTTAGCCACTTTTCATGTAAAGATAATTTTGAGCGAAAATACTGTTCAAAACCCGAAAAATACGCCAGTATATTATGCTGGAGTTCCAGCATAAGTATACTTGAACTCCAGCATATTATACTGGAGTTCCAGGATAAGTATGCTGGAACTCCAGCATAATATGATGGAGTTCCATCATAAGTACACTAGAACTCCAGCATAATATACTGGAGTTCCAGCAAGTATACCGGTCCAGCATAATATACTGAAGTTTGGAGCACCAGTGCTCCGGTCTCCAGTATATTATACTAGAGCCAGTAAAGTAGCATAATATGCTGGAGTTCATACACAGGTGCACCGAACTCCAGTATATTATGCTGGACTGGTCTCTGTTGCAGCAAAATAGTGGCTATTTTTCATAGACTTGGTAAACGCTGACTATTTTTGAATGACCAGTCCGAAAACTGGCTATACCGTGCTATTTTTACCATACCCTCACTAGCGTATGTACATCATATCATATTATACTAAAAGTAGGAAACTCCTACATGCTAAAGTCAAAATACCAAAATATCCTTGAAAAGTAAAATGACCATCTTGGCCATCATTCAATACTATTGCAATAGCACTTCTTATACAATGTAAATTATACGTGCATTTTAATAGAGATAACAACAAGATAAAAAAAAGTTAAAAATAAGAAAGAAAAAAGACAAACGTCGGACACATTTCAGATGGTCAATTTTTAGAAAGATCTTTGATTTCCTCGGAAAGGTGTAATAAATTCAAAACAATAAAATCAAAATACAATAAATTGTATACATCACACTCTTAATTATTAGGACTAATGATGATGCTTAAAGTTCTAAATAAAATTAGATATATATAGTCACAGTCAAGATCATTGATTTCTCCCATATGTTCTACTGAAAAGTAAAAAAAAACACTAATTTATCATCCATTCGACTTCAAAATCTTTAATTCAAATCCATGACGACATGATGCATAGAAAACATGAAATTTCGTTAACGTCATAGTCTCAATGGCAGGAGCATGTGCACAAAGATAAAATATCGTCATCATCATAAATTATTTTGATTTATGGTTTTACATGTGGATTAAGCTCCAGTAGGCCAAGGCCAATATATCTCAGTTGTATGCGAGTATACTGTAGTTTCCCATGTAAGTGTCGCTACATTTTTTAAAGAAGCTTTACGATGCCTTGCACCTCTCTGGTACGGCTCTTGGCTTCGCCGGTGCGTCAACTTCATGGATCAACTGAGAGCTACGGAAATTAAGGTTTCTCCATTTTCTTTATATATCTTCCTTTAGAATTTTGCTATTAAATTGTTCGTTACAGTCATTCCATGCTTGAACCGCTATATTAACCTTCCAAAACTTTCAGAGAGACATAAGATGATATGGATGAGTGATCGTTTTTTAGGCAAGCTATTTTGGAGCAAGTTCAGGAAAATCAACCTGAAACTATCTCATATAAGGAAAAGGTCCTTGTGAAACGCAAAAGAGACACAGAGGTTGAAGATATTGACCACAAAAATGTGGAGCTTGAATTGCTACTGGAACAACTAGCTCAAGAAGCCAATGCTTGGCAACATAATTCCAAATATAGTGAAAACCTATGCTTAAATTAAATCCACTGCATGTTTATGCACAGAATAGAGGTTACAAAGAAGGTTACGTTGATAGCGAGGTAGATGACATATTATTATGCTGCAATGGACATTGACCCAAAAAAATATTTATAGTTATTAGCCGTGGAAAGTATCGCTTTGAAGACTTAATTGATTGATACTTTTAAGGGCCAAGTTTAATGTAACGACCCAGGCCCACACTGTGCATATATTGTCCGCTTTGGGTCCCACCTTCATTCCGTTAACCTTTCGAAATCCACCCGAAATCTGGACATTCATAGGCCAATTGCAATTCGCCCTTGGGGTAGAATATTGTGAAATAATATTGGAGAAACGACTGCTGGATATCGCGGGGTGTGGTGGTTCAGGATTGAACCAGTGTTTCTAATGTCGACGGCTCGAGAAAGATGATCTCCGGAAAGGTTTAAAGTTATAGCAATTTGTGGGTTTAAGTGCTACGAAGATAGATTTTATTAAGGCAACAACTGAGCAACAAAGGATGAGTAAGGACATGTGGGAGTGTCAGGCGGTTAAAATTTCTAGAAGGCCAGGTATAAGAAGTAAAGGTCGAGTAGTCGATTAGAGGGGTGAGTTCCGCCAAAGTGGGAGAGTGACGAAGTTGCATATAGGCCTTTTCCCCAGTGGAACTGGGGGAGAACAAAACCGTGAGGGTGGGACCCAAAGCGGACAAATATATGCACATTGTGGGCCCGAGGCGTTACATTTAATTTGGTTGAAAGAAAAAAAACTTTTTTCTTTATGAGTAGAAAGGGAAAAGTTCTCAATAGGTTCAGAAGAACTCAACGTAGTTAATGAAAAATAACGTTAAAATTTGACATGTTTTGGAATATATAAACATCAAGAACATTACTTTGTAAGGTAGTATCAACAGGATATGATCATATTATACGTTTTATGCCTAATCATTTTATGTTCAATAATTAAATAGTCGAATATGCTCATCAATCATCAGATTGAGCTTGCGTTTTTCCTACTCATAACAAATATTTTAATATTGTTTATATTTTTGAAGAAGTTTGTGTACTATTTAACATGGCATACACGTGCAATGTACGTGTCCAAATTCTAGTACATAATAATAAGTTTCACTTGTCAAGCCTTCACATTTAGCTAGCTAGCTCTACCTTTACCAAAGCATCTGTCACGATTATTCCTTTATTAATATAATAATATATCAAGAGGCAATATATATATATTTGATTAATGTATATAGTCCAAAAAGCCGTCATACCACTATATAAACCCCCTTAACTCAAATGGCAATATATTCAACAACAAATCTTCTTGCTAAAATGTCCACTAAAGTGAGTCACTTGACAACTTGTTTAGTGTTCTCCCTCCTTGCCTTCGTGACTTACACTTATGCTTCCGGTGTGTTTGAGGTCCGTAACAACTGCCCATACATCGTCTCTGTGGCAGCAACCCCTGTAGGGGGTGGCCGACGTCTCGAACGAGGTCAAAGTTGGTGGTTCAGGGCCCCACCGGGTACTAAAATGGCACGTATATGAGGTCATACTAATTGCAACTTTGATGGTGCGGGTAGAGGTTGGTGCCAAACCGGTGATTGTGTTGGAGTCTTAGAATGCAAAGGTGGGGAAAACCACCAATAACTTTAGCTGAATATGCGTTGAACCAATTTAGTAACTTAGATTTCTGGGATATTTCTGTAATTGATGGATTCGACATGACCAGGAAAATGTCACGGTATTCAATGCATAACTAATATAAATGGTGAATGCCCAAGTGCACTTAGGGTACCCGGAGGATGTAACAACCCATGTACAACATTTGGAGGACAACAATATTGTTGTACACAAGGACCATGTGGTCCTACTGAGTTATCAAGATGGTTCAAACAAAGATGTCCAGATGCCTATAGTTATCCTCAAGATGATCCAACAAGTACATTTACATGCACAAGTTGGACTACAGATTATAAGATTATGTTTTGTCCTTATGGAAGTGCTCACAATGAAACAACAAATTTCCCATTGGAGATGCCTACAAGTACTCATGAAGTGGCTAAGTAGATCATATTGGGTGGAGTTAGCCATCTCTTTCTTGTTTAATTTTCTTGCATTTTGGTCATTGTCTTTAATTTGTCTTAATTACACACATTTCTTGTAATTTTTTTTCTTGAAGTGGCTATTACCTGAATAACCATCCATTGATCACAAATAATACATCCAATGATATAGCTCCAAGGTAATTTCATCTAGTTCCTACTATTAATAAGGGACAGTTTGAGGAGCTTGGGGACGTAGGGGTATTTTAGAAAAACTGCATCTATTTTGGCCTAAGGGTGTCTAACGGGCCTGGTCAACCCATTTTCGGACCGGCCCTGACCGGTACAAAGGGGGCCGGGTGGGCTGAGTTAATGGGGTAAGGGGTGTTGGTCCGTTCACCTTCGTTCAACCGGTTAATCGACCCGGACAATGAGATTCACTGTCCAACCGGTTAACCGGCCCAACCCGGCCCGGCCCAGACCAGTTAACGGCTAGTTGTTTCAACATGATTGTTAACGTTGGCAACGGTCACCTGGGCCAAGGGGCCGTTGCCCGACCGCTGTTTTGCAAAAATAGCCCTTTTTTGGGCCATTTTCTTTTAAATTTAACATTTTTTGTAATTACTAATTTAACCATTTGAAAAAACTATAAATACACCCCCCCTCTTCTTCATTTCTTCACTCATCTCTCATTTCTCAAACTTAAATTCTCAATTCAAGTTAAATCATGCCCCGTACTTCTAGAGTGCGCTCATATGTTTGGGAACACTTTGAGGTGGTAGAAGAAAATGAAGAAGTTCACAAAGTAAAGTGCAGGAACTGTGGTCGAGTCTTAAATCTTCGTCTAAAGTGGGTGGGCACAGGCTGTTCAAGGAGGCATATGAAGAGTTGTCTTGAGCATCCTCCAGAAATTCGTATTTAAGTTGATTTGAGACAATTTGTGCTATTTGAAAATTATTAGACGTATTTATGCTTAATGTTTTAGTTTGTTAGATTAATTAAAAGTATTATTATGCATGAAAATTTAGTTTTACTCTTTTTTCGTTAATTTACTTGTTGTTAAATGCAAACATCAATTTGTAAGTTTGAAATAAAAAAAGCACTTGCAGTTTATAAGTGCAATTTTTCCCATCTTCATTGTATTCTTTATATTATTACTTTATATTAATAAAACTTACAATAGTTATACAAAATACAAAAAATAAATAAATTAAAATTACACTAACTCGGCCCGGCCCCTTGGACCCGTAACCCTTACAGTTCATTTTTTACTCGGATGGACCCAAACCCGTTAAGCCTGGTAACCCCTAACCCGTAACTGACCCGGTTCAAAACCTGGAAGGTTTCAACTTTTCCTTACCCGGCCCGGCACGGCCCACCCGTTTAACACCCTTATTTTGGCCTGAGCCACGTGGTAACCCATTTTTCCCAGGTTTTGACACGCCCTCAAGCTGACCCATGGTCTACACTATTCTTCCTCCACATTGCCCAGCCTTCTACACTGATCTTCCTCCAAATTTTCATACTCGCTCAATTTTAGTTCCAGTTTCCTTTGTCTATTTCAGTCTTCTATCTTCCTGCTCAGTCTATGTGCTTGGTTGTACAGTTATAAGGTAAGTTTTGCTTCTTTTTTTTTTTTTTTTTTTTTTCTGATTTTGGAAATCGCTGTTGGGAAGACATTATTTGAATCGAGTAAACTATTAGTCCATTGTTTAAGAGTTCTATTCCTGCCTTTTAATCCCCTGATAATCACACCATGAAAAGAGTAGAGTTGGTGAAGCAAATTCATAAGAAAAGGACTGTGCAGAGACCAAATTTATGTCCACATAAAAAGACGCTTACCATTTAATTCATGAATCAAGGTTAAAGAAGTCTTGAGGTGTGTAAGAGTGAACCAAGCACATATAAAATTTCATGATTTTATTTATAAAATAGGCACGCATATGTATCTACAACAGAAAACTCAGAATGCAACATTAGGGTAGACGTGATTTTTATAGGATGAAATTAAGTGATTAGAGAACAGGCAGATGGTAAGCAACACAATCGATACCTATTTTAGTCTAATTTGATCAATGTCATCCCACTATGTTCACTCTAGTTAACTTTCCCGACCAAAAGTCCTTTAAACAAATGGAAGTGTTAGCACTACTTTTCTCTTGAGAAAAATTGCGATTTGGGTCATCACTTGACTTGCTTTTAAATTAAATTTTGTATTTCCGAGGTCTTGAAAACCTCATTTAGAGTCACCTCGACTTGCGTGCGCAGTCCGGGAGCGTAGCCGAAAAGCTTAAATATAAAAATCTGTGAAAAATGATAAAATTTGGCTAATAAATGAATTAATTTGACTTCGATCAACATTTTGGGTAAACGGATCCGGACCCGTGATTTGACGGTCCCGGAGGGTTCGTAGGAAATATGGGATTTGGGCGTACACCCGAAATCGAATTCCGAGGTCCCAAGCCCGAGAAATGAATTTTTGAAAGAAATTGTTTCTGAAATTGTTTATAAGGTTTTGAAATGAAATTTGATGAGAACATGATGGTATCGGGCTCGTATTTTGGTTCCGGTGCCTGGTATTCTTCTTATATATGATTTAAGACGTTCCTGTGAAATTTGGTGAAAAACGGATGTCATTTGACGTGATTCGGACCTAAATTGAAAAATTTAATGTTTTAAGAAGTTTGAAAGAATTCATGGATTTTGAGGTTTAATTCGATATTTATGATGTTATTTTGGCAATTTGATGGCGCGAATAAGTCCGTAGGATGTTTTTGAGGTTGTGTGTATACTTGGTTTGGAGTTCCGAGGGCTCGGGTGAGTTTCGGGTAGGTTCCGGGAGGTCCTAGGTTTAAAAACACAGATATTGCAGGTTCAGAGCAATTTCAGCTCTCTGAACCCGCTAGTGCGGTGCGCGGTGGAGGGCTGTGCGTCCGCAGTCGACTTTGTGCGGTCCGCACAGGGTCTCAGGAAGGGCTGTGCGGCCGCAGTCGATTTTGTGTGGTTCGCACAGGGAGGTTCAGAGATTGTATACCCTCAGGAAAGGGCTGTGCGGCCGCGGTCCGTTTTGTGCGGTCCACACAGGGGTTCTGAGGGGCATATATATAGACGAGATTTTCAGTTTATTTTTCATTTTTCAAAACCCCAAAACATCAGAGGCGATTTTTCAAACAACCTTTCGTCTCCAAAACGTTGGTAAGTGATTTTTAACTTATTTTCTTCACTCCTTAACATCTTTTAACATGATTTCAACATAAAATCAAAGATTTTCATGGGGGAAATTGAGGGTTTTGGGTAGGACCTAGGTTTTTCAAAAATTGGGAGTTTGGACCTCGATTTGAGGTCCGATTTTAAAACAAATTATATATTTGGATTCGTGGGGGAATGGGTAATCGGGTTTTCGTTCGAACTTCGGGTTTTGACCATGTGGCCCGGGAGCGATTTTTGACTTTTTGAGTAAAACTTTGGGAAATTCATTTTTATGCATTCGAATCGATTCATTTAGCCTTTATTAATGTAATTAAGTAACTTGTGACTAGATTCGAGCGAATTGGCTGTGGAATCGAGGGTTAAAGCTATAGTTGAACCTTGAGTGGTGTTCGTGGCATCGAGCTATGTGTTTGGGCTAACCTTAGCTTGAGGGATTAGGAGTCGAGTCATATTTTCTATGTGATAATTGTTGGGTACGACGTATAGGCATGGTGACGAGTATCTATACGTCGGAGTCAAGCATGCCCGTGGGTCTTATATTGTGATTTTCATGACTTCGTTGTTTTGTCTATGCTTTAGAGGTGATTTTTATTTGTTGTGACAAGTTTGTGGAAGTAATTGTGACCTTTGAACATCGAGGAGCATTGGCTCAATCTATATTACGAATTGTGAAAGTATATGAGTTGATTGAACCCTTTGGAGCATTGGCTCAAGTTGTAAGTGAGTTGTGAAGTAAAAGTGAAAAGAGAAAGAAGTTATTGTGTTGATACCTTTGCCGGGTTATTGTTGATTTATCGATTATCTCCCTTGTCGGGATGTGGATACTATTGATGTTGTTCCCTTGCCGGGATTTAAGTGTTTAATTATTGTTCCCTTGCCGGGAGTTCTATTATAATCTTGTTAATTCCCTTGCCCCATTGTTTGTGATTGTTGTTTGGCTGAGGAAGAGTGTTAAAGCACGAAGGATGATGCCGTGCCGCACGATGTACGATTCCGTGCCGATTCTATTGATTATATGGTGAGGAAAGAGAGTAAAAGCACGAAGGGTGATGTCGTGCACGTTTTATTATATAATTGCTTTGGTGAGGACGAGAGTAAAAGCACGAAGGGTAATGCCGTGCACTTATTGATTTATGATTCTTTATTTATGTCTGAGTTATGTTGTTTCCTTCGTTACTTGATGTCTTTTACTTGGAATTGTTACCTTCCCCACAGCATGCTCCCCCTCCCATATTGATTGGTTATCTCTGTATTTCTTTTTCGCTGTATATATTTGAACTGCACAGGTTTATGTGGTAGTCTGGTCTAGCCTCGTCACTACCTCGCCGAGGTTAGGCTAGGCACTTACCAGCACATGGGGTCGGTTGTGCTGATGCTACACTCTGCACTTATGTGCAGATACCGGAGCAGCGTTTGGTCAGCACAGTAGTTCGGGAGCCAGCCTTCAGTCCACCAAGACACCGAGGTAGCCTTGCAGGCGTCCGCAGGCCCGGCGTCTCCTCTATCTTTATTATGTTCTGTTATATCTTGTATGCGAGACAGACAGTGTTACCTTCTTTCAAACAGTTGTATGTAGTAATCTTAGTAGTCCGTGAATGATGTGACACCAGTTTCTGGGTGGAGGCATATGTGGATTCTTCTTATCATTTTGGTTCATTTTGTCTAAGTCTTCCGCTTAAATCTCATATTCCGCAGTTATTTAAATGTTTATCGCTTGTTGATATGATTTATAAAAAGATTAAAATAAAATAGTTAAGAATTTATAATTTCATGGCTTGCCTAGCTTCTACGAGTAGGCGCCGTCACGACTCCCGAGGGTGGGAA